GGGGTGGGGGGGGAAAGCAGGGCTTACCCCAGGGTGGTGTCAGCGGGGGGGGGGGAATACTTCAGTACTTAATACTTTACTGAGGTTTCATAGAATATGCTGAACTGAACACAGAATCGTTTGCGCAGGTGAAATAGTATTAATAACAATAATAATAATAATAATAATCCCGTTACAGCTATTATTTTGACAGATAATCAATCAAAATAAGTTTTAGTTTTACTCTCTCTCTCCCCCTCTCTCTCTCTCTCACACACACATATATATATATTTACTTTAATAGAATACATGTATATTATGTTGTTTTATTTTGATATTGCTTGTTGTTCAATTTCAAGAAAGGGTTAACATTAGGCGACAGATGACCCATTTTTCGTGTATCCATGAATGTGCATCTACTTACATTACATATGGGAACTCTGACACGTTTTAAGCGTTTTTTAAACACTCAATAACAACTAGACTCCCACAAAACTCTCACTCGGCACAAGACAACCTCTGTGCCAAAAGAGGCTCAGCATAAAGCGCAACTATGAACTGAACCAATATGTATGTCGTGAGTGCACACCGCCTAGTGTGGATTTTGCTTTACACCGACAATGTTATCTTGAAGAAGTGTGCAGCATTCAGCAGCTATAAAATGCATTTACCGTTAACTGCATGACATATTATGTGAGACTAGAGATTGCAGCGCTGACATTGATTGTGTAATGTCTGCGCAAATGTCTGCGCAGCGGGTAGGGCCTTGAAGAACAACAAAGTTCAAAGTTCGAAGCAAAGATGTTTCCAAAACCAAAGAGATGTGTAAAACGGTGCTGTTCAATATTCAGCACCGACTAAACATAGTCTCTACAGCTTTGATAATGAGACAATACAGACCAAATCTAATTTACAGTAGAAACGTGTCGTTTGTTTCTTTATTTCCCGTGTGCAGGACGTCCGGGAGAGGACAGTCTCCAGGTGTTGATCTCGAGCGGACATCTTTGCGCGGCTGCACAGTTGAATAACGTAACATAGCGAGCTAGCTGTGAACGGATTAGGGGGTGAACAAACGTGTTCAAACACTCGATTTGAGCGTGATATAGCACTCATAGCTATGGGGATTTCAGTTCAGTTAATGTAACGTGACAGCATTTTGCGATAGCAGACACTATGTCGGCGTTGTTGCTGCAGCATCGTACAGGACTCTGTAGTAAATACAGTGCAGGGTTACTGTGGACTCTGTCGAGGCAAAACTCTCGGATATCAACGAGCAAGCCAACATCCAGCAATGGTGTTACAGATGTGCTGTTCAGAGGCGATCGTGTCAGAAAGATGCTCCTTTCGAAATCAGAGACACTTACAAGTCAGCCACAGAAGCTCATCCAGGTAAGTCTCCATACACCATCAACATGGTACTTTTAGAGTGCGCCTCGTATTCATGGCTGCTAGTGGGAACAGTTAGTGATGTGAGTAAAATGTGGAAACACTGTAAGAAGTGACCATATATGTCCGTGAAGTGTGATCTGTTTACCGGGGTAGCCTCTCATTGACACCCTTCACCTTGGAATATAAACTGCGAGGGACAAACAATGACATTCTGCTTCCTTTAGCAGCATTTTAAATATACATCTTCATGACTTCCATGAGTGATATATATCTATTTACAAATAGACTCAGCTGTGTCCATGAGCTTGAAAATAGATCAATATCTTAAATCGTCAGTGACATCAGGTGACTGTTTTTGTTTTTTTTGGAGGTAAACTGACATTGAAAGTCATTGGCACCCATTACAAAACGTTTAGTCCTTTGGATATATTTCATACTGTTTTTAATGAGTGGGATTAAACTGTTATTCTACTGCGGAGGTCCTTTAGTTTGAAACTGCATCATGCTTACTGCTTCTACTTAGTGTATCTTCACTACACCACTTGTTTTTACTTCCACTCTGACACGTTTTCTCTGATATTTGGTCTCACCAAAATGTAATGTTCCCGTTTTAGAGTCTCCTCCACAGACCCTTGGGTCCTGGCATGGTGGGAATTAGCAAAGAGTTGATCAGGAACAACCTGCTGACGAACCCTGTTGGTTTGGTAAATCTATTAGGTAAACACGCAGTTTTATCATCCTTAGCACTTTTACTAATAATCTTTTTTATTTTACTTACACGTCACTACTTCTGATTTTAAGGGTCAATAAACTTCTTCAGTACATCTCAATCCAAACAAGAGAAAGATAAAAGTGATGGACCAAAGGGAAAAAATCCAGAGGAAAATGAAGGTACGCGATGAATTGCTTAGCTGATTGATTGATTGACACCACACATGGCTGTGATCTTAATTTCTTATTCTCTTCCTCCACAATTCTGTCTCGCCCTTTTCAGAGGAGAAGAAACGCCGCGAGCAGGAGGACCAGATGTACCGGGAGCGCCTGCGGACCCTCTTCATCATAGCGCTCATCATGAGCCTGCTGAACTCCATCAACACCAGCGGGGGAAACATCTCTTGGAATGACTTCGTCAATGAGATGCTGGCCAAGGGAGAGGTGTCCCGTGTGCAGGTCGTTCCCGAGAGTGACATTGTAGAAATCTACCTTCACCCTGGAGCAGTCATTTTTGGAAGGCCGGTATGTTGAGCAGGATTTTTAATGCAAACACCAAATTTAGCCTCGGAACCGCTACAGCAGACGTGCGTACTAACCTCTCATTTCCTGCCGTGTTTCCTGCTTTGCAGCGGCTGGCGCTCATGTACAGAATGCAGGTCGCCAACGTTGACAAATTCGAGGAGAAGCTGAGAGCTGCTGAAGAAGAGCTGAGTATTGAGAGTAAGGACAGGATACAGGTGTCCTACAAACGCACTGGATTTTTTGGGAAGTAAGAACATTAACCTTTCTCAGCGCACAAAAGAAATCCATTCATGGGGTTCAATGAGCAATTTGAAGGAATGTCAACCACCATTTTTCATCTGTTCACTTTGCAGTGCAGTCTATGCTCTGGGGATGGCTGCTATTGGCGTGGCTATTCTCTGGTACATCTTCCGACTGGCAGGCATGGGAGGCAAAGAAGGCGGCTTCAGTGCTTTTGTGAGTGGAGACCACATCAGAAATTTGGCACGTGCACAGTTACGTTTTTTTGTTTTGTTTCACTGATTTAATTAGTGTGTTAATTACGTATTACAATGGACTTAACAGAATCAGTTGAAGATGGCCAAGTTCACCATTGTGGACGGCAAGTCCGGTAAAGGTGTGAGTTTCAAAGATGTGGCGGGACTGCATGAGGCTAAGATGGAAATAAAGGAGTTTGTGGACTACCTCAAGGTAAGAAACTAGACTCACTACCAGACTGGATGAGCTGAGGTCCTTTTTCTCCCACCCATCAAGTCTCACATGAGTAAAAACTTCCCCATTGTCCAGCACTTACCACGTTGATGTTATGTAATGTCAGAATCCAGAACGGTACCTCCAGCTGGGAGCCAAGGTTCCCAAGGGTGCATTGCTGCTCGGGCCTCCAGGCTGTGGGAAGACGCTGCTGGCCAAGGCTGTAGCCACTGAGGCCCAAGTGCCCTTTCTGGCTATGGCCGGCTCTGAGTTCGTGGAGGTCATTGGCGGTATGTAGAGGCAGCAGCAGTGAATATGGCTTTAAGACGGTTGCGAGAGTAGATATCGTTGATGATGATATTGTGATATAGATTAAATGCCTGTGTTACAGTGCAGACATATTCTGTAGTTCTTTGTATACACATTACTAGTCATTCTTTTCTCAAAATGTGGTTTGTGTAACTATCGTCGCAGATAATCTGTCACGCCAGACTAGAGATATCAGATGATTGGTTTAAAAAAAAAAAAAAAGAAGAGACTTTTGATTCCATGCGTCATTGCTCAGCCTTCTGGTATTTCACTCGTCGCGTGACTTGCGTTGTGCTCGTGTGTAGGCCTGGGTGCCGCGAGGGTGAGGAGTCTGTTCAAGGAGGCTCGAAACAGAGCGCCCTGCATTGTCTACATCGACGAGATCGATGCCGTGGGAAAGAAGCGCTCCACCAACATGTCGGGTTTCTCCAACACTGAAGAGGAGCAGACCCTCAACCAGCTGCTGGTGGAGATGGACGGTGAGTGGAACGTGGGATCTCAGAGCAGTTTGCTGTCATCGGAGGCGGACCTCTGACTGAGTAATGAAACACTTGTCCGTCTTTTGCAGGAATGGGAACGACGGACCACGTCATTGTCCTCGCTTCCACTAACAGAGCAGATATCTTAGACAACGCTCTCATTAGACCAGGCAGACTGGACAGGCACATCTTCATAGATCTGCCCACTCTGCAGGTAGTCTCCAGCATTCAACAGCTGCCAGCGACCTTAATTAGAATTGACTTAACTTAGTTTTATAATAACCATGTGCCTTGCAAAGGAAATTTTAAGGAAATTTCTCAAGCAGCCTCTTCTTTTTGCCTTTTTGAGAATATATTCAATTTTTTTATTGCAGCACTTTTCCCACAAATTGGTATCCCATTAAGCTGTTTATACATTATCAGGCAAAAGAAACATGATATTTGGACAGCTAAACTATGTTAACTGTGTGGGAGGTCTAGACAGACTCTGTCAGTTAAATCCAGTTTGTTTTATTTGAATCGCCGTCTCTCAGGAGAGGAAGGAGACCTATGAGCAACATCTGAAGATCTTGAAGCTGACCAAACCAGCTGGTTTCTACTCTCTGCGTCTGGCTGAGCTCACCCCGGGCTTCAGTGGTAAATACATGTTTAGTGTTTTGTCCTCCATGTAAATCTATGAACATCTGTGACCATAACAAAATACCGGCCTGCAACCATGAATAAACATAAGCTCTCGATCAACAAACGTGAAACATATTACCAAGTCACAACACCGTCGGTGTTGACTGAAATGTCATTTCCATATGGTGATCAGGGAATCTCCGTTGCCAAATCACTTTGTCTCTGCAGGTGCAGATATAGCGAACATCTGTAACGAGGCCGCCCTGCATGCTGCCAGAGAGGGGCACAAGTCCATCGATACCTTCAACTTTGAGTATGCAGTGGAGAGACTAATAGCAGGTACAACGATGCAAATACGGTATTATGGGAAAATATGCCACTCTGGAGAAATTTGACAGATCTGTGTGTGTGTGTGTGTGTGTGTGTTCGTCTTCAGGGAGTGTAAAGAAGAGTAAGATCCTGTCCAAAGAGGAGCAGAGGGTGGTGGCCTTCCATGAGTCTGGACATGCCTTAGTGGGATGGCTTCTGGAGCACACCGAGGCAGTCTTGAAGGTAACAGCTGAGTTGAGTGGTTCTGGTTAATTTGTATGTCAACACAGCAAGACTTTTGTTGAAATCTTTTGATTGTGTGTTGTGTTTTTCAGGTGTCCATTGCCCCGCGGACTAATGCTGCCCTGGGATTTTCCCAGATGCTACCTCGTAACCAGTATCTGTTCACCAAGGAGCAGCTGTTTGAGCGCATGTGTATGGCCCTGGGAGGAAGAGCTGCTGAGGCCATCACCTTTAACAAGGTTACAACAGGTACACTCCATCTACTGTATAGCCACTGTAATCACAGCTGATTTCTCTCAAATAACTTCTTTATAGTTTTCTACTGCTCAGATTCCTAGCCCGTCTTCATCTTCACAAATTTTATTTTTGTATTATTCTTGAAATGAAGATTGTTCAGTTTCAAAAAATAGGAAACTCTTCCAAAACTCCTTTTTTTTTTTTTTTTTGTCTTAATAAGAATTAGTCTTGAAGGCTGACTCTTGTTCAGTCTCAAACATGACTCATTAACTCTGAGTAGGAATTTCACCCAAGTATCTGAAAAGTAAACCGCGGAACATCCAAATATAAACACTCTCCTGTCCTGTGTACCATAACTTGGCACCCCAGTTAAAAACAGTGGTTGAAGTATCCTCGCTGTGTGTCCCCAGGAGCTCAGGATGACTTGCGTAAGGTGACCCGTGTGGCCTACTCTATGGTGAAGCAGTACGGCATGTGTGACAGTGTCGGCCAAGTCTCATTCCCTGAAACAGAGTCACAAGGGGCCGTCGGACGCCGTCCTTTCAGCCAGGGCCTGCAGCAGCAGATGGACCACGTGGGTTCTAATATTGGATTATTTTTCTGTCCCCCGTTATCCCACATGTTGACCGTCCCCCAAACATAGCGGATGTTGTTTCACGTCATAATTAGATATAGATTTGACAGCAGGTGTTGTTCTTTCAGGAGGCTAAGATGTTGATAGCGCGGGCTTACAGGCGCACAGAGAAGCTGCTGCTGGACAACAGAGACAAGCTGATACTGGTCAGTTGCTCCCTTCTTTGATCATACATTTTGTGTGTTTTTAGACGGTGGCTTTTCCCCCCCCATCATTGAGCACAGCACTTCTGTGTTACCTTTCGCTTTTGTGTCCGGTTGTAATAAAATCCCAACTTGTTGGGGTCCATCTTTTCCAGATGGCCAATGCGCTGTTAGAACGAGAGGTGGTGAACTACGATGACATTGAAGCCTTGCTGGGTCCCCCCCTCCACGGGCCCAAGAAGTTGATCCTCCCACAGAGCTGGCTGGAGGCCGAAAGGGACAAACAAGACACGGGGGAAGACGAACCTCAACCACCTCCCCGTAAACACGGAGAAGATGACGTGAATCCACAGCTGGTCTGATCTCAGAATTCTTCTGTGACTGCTGCATCAGGCGCTGGGTGCATTTAATAAAACCGGGCTTTGATTCCTCATTTTGAAGCTTTCTATGCCTGAAAGTGAAATTGGCAACATTTCCATGCAGATGTTTTGTGCACATGCACTTGTTTTCCAGTTAGCTGACCCATTTAGATAATCTGAAACAGGCCTAAACAACCCAGTGCAACTTGGAAAGTGATTACTGTGGCAGGGATTCCATCATTTTCCTTGTGTGTTGGCTGTTTATCATGCCATGGAAGCACTAGAAACAGGTCTGTTCAAACGGGATGTCTCTAGCTATTTACTGGATGTGCAATCAGCATTTACATGCTCTGTCTGAGAATCACCAAACAAGGTGCAGTAATACCTGAAAATGAGGTGAGATCACTTTTATGCAAACTTAACTGCAGCATATACAGGTTTGGACTGAAGTATTACTTTTAGAGAATGCATTTTACATCTGTAATTGACATGTCATTTATAAGGCATGTCATTCTATCCTGAAAAGTTGACTTTAGCTGTGATTTCCCTACTTTGTCAGAGATGACCAGCACCAAATATGTCAGCATTCATTCAGGGTACATGAACACATTAAGGTCTGCATTATTGTCATGTTGATTTTTTTTAAGCTGCAGATATTACTCCACACACCTTGACTCATCTAACCAGGAGACATACAGAGTTAATAGGTTGAAGTTTTCTTTAAACTGTTGGACAGTGTATTGGTTTGATTGCCACAAGTGACCATTGAGTCCCAATGGATTGTGTTGCTAAATAAAGTTTGTAAATATTGTGTGTTGCTCTTAATGTTGCATTTAGTTTTAGTGGCCCCAAACCACACGCACTACCCCATAATGACGAAGCAAAACCAGGATTTTAAGATTTTCTTTTTTGCAAATTTATTAGAGATAAACACTGAAATATCACATTGATCTGGTATTGAGTATTTCTTTGAAGCACAGCCTTGAGTCTTCTTGGGACCAAGAAGACTCAGAAGAAGACCAAGAAGATTGTGGACCATTGGTGGACAGCCATTTTCAGGTCGAGGCCTCTCCCGTCTGCAAGCCTGTGTGTTTAGGGTCATTGTCCTGTTGGAAGGTTAATCTTCAGCCCAATCTAAGGTCTGGAGCACTCCAGACCAGGTTTTCATTGCCATTCAACTTTCTCTCAACTCTCGAGTCTCCACCGCTGAAAAAACATTGCAACAATGTCACGCTACCACCACCAGGTTTCACCGTTTGGAGGGTTTTGTGCAGGTGATGATGGTTTCTTCCAAAAATGACAAAAAATTGAAGCCAAACCGTTTAATCTTGGTTTCATCAGACCAGGTAATGTGGTTTCTCATAGTCTGAGAGCCTTTGGGGTGCCAGATCAGTGGAATGCTGCAATGATGGCTGTCTCTCTCTTGAGCTTAGCCAGAGGGACCGTAGGGTTCTTGGTCACCTCTCTTATCAAGGCCCTTCTCCCCTAATAGCCGAGTTTGGCCGGGCGGCCAGCTCAAGGAAGAGTTCTGGTTGTTACAAACTTCTTCTGTGCAGGAATCATGGAGGCCGCTGTGCTTTTGGGAACCTTCAATGCAGGAGAAAATGTTTCGCTGCCTCCCCCAGATCTATGCCTCCACACAGTCGTGTCTCTGCGCTCTACAGGCGGTTCCTTCAACCTCTTGACGTGGTTTATGCTCTGATGCAGTGTCTGCTGTCAGACCTTACATAGACAGGTGAGTGCCCTTTCAAATCATGTACAATCAGTTGAATTCACCACAGGTGAACTCTAATCAAGCTGTAGAAACATGTGAGCTAAGTGCCATAGCAAAAGATCTGATTACGTCAACGTGATATTTCAGTATTTTCTTTTTATAAACATTTGCATAACTTGTCCTGTTTTCCTGTTTTCATTTAAGAGTATTGGGTGTAGATTGATGAAGGAGAAATGGGTTTAAACATTTTTAGCATTAAGCTGCAACATAACAGAATGTGAAAGGTTTTGAAGACTTTCTGATTGCACAGTATATATATATATATAC